CCTGACCTTTCAGGGGTCTTGGAAAAACATTGCAAGTTTAATCGTAGTCTACTGGAACATTTCAGATTGCCCCTTGTATTTTACGTTGTTGACCTTAGAGCATGAGAACAACTTTTTTCAAACACAATGGGCTGTGCCATGAGAATCTGTTCAAGTTTTTCCAGACATCCTAGTTCTAAGGGAATTTTATCAACGTCTAACTTACAAACAGAGTTACATGTTTACATGTTTACATGTATGACTCTTTAACAGCGTTTACAACTTTCACGAGGTTCGGAGCTTCAATGCCGGGCTTACCAAGTAGTGCAGATCCCAAATCCACTAAAACAAAGATTTCCTGCCTTGACTCCAAGTGATTGGCTTTTAAGGTGGCGGAGATTACTCCAGCGACTTTGAGCTTGTACCCATCAGGCCCTGTCGATGTCCTCTTAGTATTTTAAATATAGCATTCAGCCTAAGAACGATGAGGTCAGGAGCAGCTGAGAGATCAGCTCCAGCATCGAGTTTAGATTCAACGCTATTGCCGTTAACAGAGACATTTGTTTTCCAAGGATCTATGTGTAGACTATCATTTTCGTCCGAACTAAGGGCACCAAGAAAGTAATCTGTATCATCCTCTACGACTGCAGCTTGGGCAAACGGCTAAGAAGTGACTGTTCTTTTTACATTTTCGGCAATAGGCATCTTTGGCAGGACACTGGGTTCTTTTGTGAGCTGGACTTAAACTACATCGTTGGTAGACATCATTGCTTACATCGCTTTGGATGAGCACTTTGTACAGAGTGCTTGTAGGTTTTCCCTTGAGGATTCTGTGATGTCCTTAGAGACTTCTGAGGTTTGGACTTGTGAACTCCGTCCACTTCGGCTGGTTGACTTGCGTCATCTTGTCCTCTAACTATAGATTGTTGGCTTCTAACTGATTCGCTCTGTCGTACCCTTTTAATGGCTTTTTCCAAGGTAAGGTCTGCATCCAACTGGAACTTTTCTGAAAGCTTTTGGTCAGCTAGACCCACCACAATACGGTCACGGATCATTTCGTCGTGTAACAAACCAAATTGACAATGTTCGGTAAGGCCATATAAGTCAGTGATAAAGAAATCAACCGGCTCACCGGTTTCTTGCTTACGTCGGTGAAATTTTTCACGTTCAAAGATAATATTACTTCGCTTTACAAAATAGCCGTCAAACTTGTCTTTTGCTACGTCATATTTCTTTGAATTGTCGGTTGTAAGGCCAAATGTCGTCAGTATATCATCACTTTTGCTTCCCATAGAATATAGGAGCGTATTTAATTGGCTCTCCTCATCTCTTTTACTTAATCCAGATGCAGAACGAAACCGCTCGAATCGCTTTATCCATTTGATCCATTCGGTAGGTTTCGAGAAGTCGAATTCTTCTAGTGGCGATGCTTGGTACGCCACAGGTTTGATCATCGGTGCTTGATTTTCACTCGAAGATCCTTCAGGCATCCTTGATCCTCGAACTCAAATAATCCCTTCCAGAGCTTGATCTATTCTTATGTTCCCACTCCTGACACCATGTGTTGTTCGATGGCCGAAATCAAACAAGAAATACACTGGATTGTAAACACAATTGGATGGTTTAATCCGCCATCAAGAAATCACACAACAAGAACACTTGCCTGGAATCGAGGCATGGTACCACAGGGTACCCAACACTACATTTCGTTTTTCTCCTTCGCTCATCTGACATGTAAATGCTATAAACTGAATGTAATAGACTGTTGTATCGAGCTCAATTTAACAAACGTTTGTAACGAAGGCTATTTTTAGTTAAGATTTGCGTGACTTTTAATACCCTTTTGTTTTGTGTGACATACTTTCTTTTCAGACAAAAATTGCACAACAATCTGCTGCTATTTAATTTGGTGATATAGTCCCAGAAATACAATTTTAAAATGATTGGTCTTGAAGCAAGTTCAAAGAAGTTATGTACAGTACAAATATACTTGATTTTCTTACAAATGCAAGTGTTACAACAGTCAGAACAAAGTGTCTGACTTGTCACTTGAGGAAGAAAAAGACTTGTTAAATCTTCTGTCATCATCATAACATTTGCATTCACTGTAAATATAACACTAAATACAGCATGAGCGGACACTGTAGCAAATGAGTGGCAGTGTCCTCTTAAATAAGCCTAAACAGGTTCCCGAACCACGGCCATATCTGTCCGTTCATCATAGTTTTCTAACTGTAAACATGCATCTGATATAATTTGAAAAAACACATTGCAATTGATCTCTCCTAGAGAGTCCTTAAGAATATAGCAAAAGCAAGTTCAAGAAAAGAGTCAACTTCCCCCATGTTAGGTAATCCGGATTCCGGAATCCAGGAAATTTTTGCTCGTGGAATCCGGAATACTGGGCATTGGAATCCAGCTTTTGGAATCTAGAATCCCGCTAAAGAATGAATCCAGAATCCATTTACTGAAAATATATTTCGAATCGCATCAACGGCTTTCATGCGCATTCATGCAACCATGGTCAGGCTAAAACGCAGGCTACAGACCGTACAGGCCGCGCTTATTTCGCTCGAGAATTTCGACCGTTACAGCCCACGAGACACTGACAAATTTATTCATGACCTATTACCCAATCGACTTCAACACTGACATGGCCAAAGTTCCCTATTAGCTATCGATCAGTCTTCTGCTCCGATTTAAAAACCTTAATTCCTAGTAAAGTTCGATTTTAGCTTGCAGCACTTTCTTTACTGAAGAGTTCGTTGGGCTGTCTTGTGAAGATCTCAGTAATAATTTGCTTCGTCCACACAACACATTCCTTACCTCTGAGTCAGCGTCACTGTCTACACAAATTACATCTGCAGTACATCTTGCCGCGCGGGGCTAATCTCCATGTGCTCGAAAAACTGGAGCCTGCGATTTTGTTTTGCTAGGGAACGTAAGCTCGAAATAATCTCGTAAAATTTCGTCATGTGGCGTCCAAAAACTGGAAACAGTTCCAACGTTACCAAGGGCAAGAAAAAGGTGTATACACCTTAATCATAGGTAAATCACAGTTTAAAAAAAAGAAAACCTATAAATTTCAAAGTCTGCACGGTCTGCGGTCTATGTTTCATCATGACCGATGCAACCACTGTAGAGTGCGGTTCACTCACGTGGTCAATGGGTGTGCAAATTTAGAGGGACAAAAGAAATTGTTTCGATAACAAAAGCGTTCAAATCCCACAGGATTTGCTTGCAACAACAGCACGGCGACGGACCACATGTTTCCAATTATAATAAACTTTGAACAAAGATATATGGATATTTATAAGGGCCGGGAGAGGTCTACCTCTAAGTCGAATTTTCGGCATTTAAACGTAAACCGCTTTCTTTGATTTTTGGCATTCAGAATACTAAAATGTTAGATTTCATAAGGCATCATATCTCAGTGCGAATAAACTAAGATATTATCAGATTTGAGGGTCAAACAACATTTTCTAGAAAAGCAAATGGCGGTGGGCTACCTTAAACTTTTAGAGCCATTGCTCTGAATAATTCATAGCCGACGTTATGTGACTTGGCTAACCTTTTAATACCGTGTAAATAAGGTGTAAATTCAGATCTTTCGCGATTTTGCGAAGGTTTAAGTATTGTTGAGCTCGTTGAACACAGTTTTATGCGCAATCTCATAATGTCGAACATCATCGCCAATTACATATAGGAAAACAAGCTTTTCTTCGTCATATGAATAAAGGGGTAAGTTTCTAAAGAAACTGTGGTGCTGCGTCGGTGGGAGAGTATAGCAGGTAATTTAGTGTTAACAACTGGGTTGAAAACGTAAATTAGCCATCGTAAAGGGTAAAAAAGCTGACGTTTCGAGCGTTCGAACCTTTACGGTGGCTAATTTACGTTTTCCACCCAGTTGTTAACACTAAATTACCTGCTATTCTTAGTCATAGTGTGCGATTTATTTGCGACCTACACGAGGTGTTATTAAAATTATATTTCAGTTAAAATTTCTCGTCAATACCATGGTTTTTGTTTAAAGGAAAGTTAAAAAAAGTAATTTGAAATGATAGGAAAAACTGTTTCGAGCTGTTTTCTTAGCAGCTCTAAGTCAATTTTGGACACAAAAATTGGCCATCTTTTCTCAGTCGGAACAATGTTATGCTAAGCTAGAACAACTTTTTAGTCCAACAGTTATTTACAAATTAAAAATGATAAGCAATGATGTACCACAGCTTTTGAAGATGCATGACGAACAGAGGGTAGTTGTACGGAGAAAGTATGCCGTGAAGCAAGATTGTAAATTATACTACCCCACCGTCGGGGCTCAGTGATGTTGTAGCCACCGAAAGATCGATTTAATAGCCGCCACAATGGGCTTTGTGTTTCACATTGTTTGGTCTGAAATGTATCTAAAGCCGTACAGCCCACAATAGGCAATGGGTCTCGCTGATACTGTCACCATCGACAGATTCATATCATCGCTGCCACAACAGGGTTTGTGTTTAAAATTGCTTGGGTTGAAATGTATCCCAATGCCATACAGCTCACAATAGGCAATAGGTTTCATTTGTGAACATACATCGATGCGATACTTCCTGCTGTGAGATAGGCTAGAAAATATTTTTCTATAGAAGAGGCCCGTAACTTGAACGCCGCGTCGACTGCTGTCTGAAATAGGCTCGCAATGGAGGTGTTGACGCCACGTCTCGACTGCTGCCGTTCCGAAAGATGTGATAACTTAGACATGTAAACTCAAAAAGATACATATTAATTTTACTCCCCTAAGGGCGCAAAGGATCGTTGACGGTCGAAAACACGTATACATTCATTTCCAGTTGAAGCCAATGGCATCATGCCATATAAGTTGCACCTCCCAAGGGATCATGTTGGAGCCAATGAAATTGTACAACATAGCAAACTTTTGATGTATGTACCATTTCTTACAGGAATAAAAGTTGAATTACACGCACTACACTTAGCAAAATCTCGCTGATAGTGTTTTTGTTTGTTTGTTTTTTTGCAGGGCATCTCATGGCATAAAGGTGTGGTGGAAGCCAGCAAGTTCATATTGAATGGCTGAGGAAAGTACTGCAGTTGGGGCAGAGGCAGCCAGGGCCGCTCTTGAGGCATCAGCGTCAATCACTGGAGGGGCCCTCTCAGTCTCATTGAAAATTGACAGCCCCATTGTGGCAGGAGTTGCCTTGGCAGCGGGTGCGGCGGTGACGTTGGGTGCATTTTATTTACGTTACAGGTGGAAAACAGAAAATGCGATTAGAAATAGCCTAGAAAGAATGAATGCGATTGGAGCAGCTGATCCTGAGGTCACAAATATTGAAGAAGGTTCCATCATTGTGAAACTACGTTGCCATACACCGCAGAGTGTACTACAATTTGTGAAGGACTTTAAGGAGAAGAAAGTGAAGCGTCGATTGGAAGAAGAGCTAAAAAAAATTGGATTTGACAAAGAGTTAGAAGTAACTATCGTAAATGGCCAAGAGGTATTCCAGAGAGAACAAGAACTAAGGTAAAAAGCGAAATAAATTCTTTGTAGCTAGTTTAATGAAACTATTTCATAGGATTTCTAAAAATCCAATTTTACATTTGACAATACAATCTTTCTCTGAATATTTCTACTCAGAAACACGAAACATCACAATAAGCTCAAATTTTATAACTTTTAATAATCTTCTGCAGGTCTTTACTTGAACCTCAAGAAGACGTAAAAGTAACTGTTGAGGAAGTTAGCCTAGGTGAGTATCAAAGCGGGAAGTCTTCAAATAAACATAGGTTCCACGAGGAACCGCAGGGTCTTGACCAAAATCCCAACTAAACCAATGCATTCCTCTAGTATTTGATACACTCAAGTTGCCCCACTCAACGATTATCGCTCTGAAAGCTAACAAAGTATAATATTATTTGTATTAAATTTAAGAATGTTGACGATAGCATACTCTGTGCGTTAGCATCGAGAGGGGCTCAAGAGAGGGAATTCGTAAAGGATCGATATAACCTAAACTGATACCACAAAAAAATTGCGAGGAAACCAAGGGCGAATCATGCTACACCATACAAACTATACAAGTAGGCGTGATTCAGCTTCCAAAGCTATTGATAACACCTTTAACGGATAGCCAGATCTCGTAATCGTGTATCAGTGCAATCGAACAACATAATGCATGATTTAGCTACATTAAGAAGGCCTATCAAAATGTCTACTTAATGACAAAATTCAGCGCTTTGATCAAATTTAATTGAAATATAGAGTGCCTCAGGGTTCTCTTTTAAGAGCACTGTTTTGCTTTCTACATCGTAATAGATCAATCGTAATTGTTAGACATCAGAGGAATCCGCCAGGGTTACAGGGTGAATTTTTGAGCGACAATATTTCCCAGAGAGGTATATGACGTGTATGAGTTTGTGGTATAATACCGAATGCAGTACGATAAGATTCCAATTCAGTTGAAATGCTATATATTTTCAGCTTACCTCGGAACTAAAGGTCTCTAACAACTATTTAATATGAATTACTTCCTTTTCAGACTATTTAAACTTTCTTTAACGTGCAATACTTCGAATGGAAACAAACTGTGCTTGGTTACTTAAGTCCCTCTGGCTCATGGAAACGGAAGATTAATACTACCCCCCCCCCCTTTTGGATTTTTATCCTTTTATGGATAGCCTCCATCATTTTATGAGTATCTCTTGCTGACTATTAATTCCTTCCCTTTTCCCTTCCCTCATAAAATCAGCGGGGGCTTGAATGTATTTGCAAACCTTATCGTAATTAGTCATTTTGTTTTTATTTTAGGGGCAGGGAAGGCACCAGAAGGTAATTTATTTGTTATCTATGATAATGAATCCTAATAACTTTCATTTTGACAGTGTTCAATATTCACTCTATGAGCAAAACATTGGATATGTATGTATGTTTGACCATAGTTGATATACTCAATAATATATTGAGTATATGTATGTATGTTTGACCATAGTAAATATACTCAATAATATATTGAGTTTCATTTTCTTTATTTTATCATAGCGCATTCTATGGACTTAAGCTAGTTTACGTATCGTTCTATAAATTTAAAAACAATGGCAACAACGTTCAACAACGTAAGAGTCTTTATCCAAAACTCTCTCATGGTTCATGTACTGTCACCAAGTTTGATTGGATAAGTTGACTCTAGTTGCTCTGCTGACTATTAATTCCTTCTCTTTTCCCTTCCCTCATAAAATCGGCGGGAGCTTGGATGTACTTTTATGCCTGATCGTAATTTCTTATTCTGTTTTCTTTTCAGACTGGTTGAAGAAGATGAAAGGTAATTATTCCGCTGCGCTAATAAATCATAAAAATTTTCATTATTGGTACAAAGTTATCCAAGTAGCACACGAAAGCCGAGATTGTACACAGTCCATATGGATTATTTTTTCAGTTTTCTTTTATTTTCACCAAAAAAAAAAAGAGAGAGGGAAGTTAACTAACTGTGACAATGGATCATGGAAATCTCTAATTTAATTCCTTAATTCCTTCCCTATTACCATCCCTCATAAAATCAGCGGGGGCTTGAATGTATTTTCATACCTTATCGTAATTAATCATTTTGTTTTTATTTTAGAGGAGATGAAGTGGCTAGAAGGTAACTTATTTAATCCTAATAACTTTCATTTTGATAGTGTTTCAATATTCACTCTATGAGCAAAACATTGGATATGTATGTGTGTTTGATACTAGCAAATATACTCAATAATACATTGAGTTTCATTTTCTTTATTTTAAGTGTGCATTATTACTGATGCATTCCACGTATAATGTTTACATAGGGTAATTTAAGAGTGTGTCCACGAGAGCACCGGGCAGTCGTTCTACATGCCATCTCACCGATTTCAGTGAAACTTTGCTAGCTTAAAGGGTCTACCCCGAAACTCAAAAAGACAAACTGATTTCTGTTTGATTTTTTCCGGGCGGAGAGCCCACTCTTCCCGGTTTTTCTTGGTTTTCACCATGGAAATCGCTTTAAAATAGGAAAAATGTATGAAGCCCTCACTGCGATGGTATTTAACCAATTACTCTGAGGGTTGGCAAACATATTATTACATTCTTAGTCAATATCCGACGGAAGTATCAGTCAATTCGATTGACTGCTTGTCAATCAACAGAGGCAAATAAACGACTGTGTTTTCAGACTTTTCGATTCATCCAAATATTTGATAACTTTGAGGTCAAATATCTCCCCTTGCCAGAAAGTATCAACACTGATCTAAATTCCCCTTTATAATCTATCACTTCATCTCTGAAAACCATCAAAAAAATCTTTGGGCACAACCGTATTTTTGTCTTGGATGCCTTTTAAAATCTGCGACTGTGACAAGCTTCTCTCAGTTACACTTGTCACCCAATTCTGGCTCTAAGCGGTCACTTGATTACATGAACCTACATTTTTTAGGTCTTACAAGATGATTGATCAAGAAAGCTGAAAAATATGAAAAACTTTCGAGATATTTTGTAGGAATGGGAAATTTCACGTTTAGAGAGATGCATGTAGGCGAAAAATCGATTGGAAAATCGTAGCGTTTCTTTCTTCTGTCGTTTATCACTTTAGAGATTTGCTAAAATCAGCAAATGTGGCTTTTGAACGGCACAAAACATTCATTAGCCAGTAATTTGATTGTTTATCATCATCATTGCTCATTTTCGGAAATTTTAAAGTCACACGCTGCGTGTTGGTTGACACTATTACAAGTTCCAGAGTGCTACAACTTCTGCTTCTACAGACGAGAAATTCTGCACTCTCGCTTGAGAGGAAATATCAATAGCTCTATCAATCTAAAATCTTTGCTACTATCCCGAAAATAAAATTAAAATAGTATTGTCGTTGTCACTTACCGCCATCGAACATTTCCATGCAGAACTCCGTTAAACTAACATCTGTTACGTGACCCGAAGATTTTCCGTAATTATTCAAGCTCGTTGTTCATGCGGTCTGCTAGATGACAATTTCGGAATAATCAGCAGATCTCTATGATTATTTTATTGCTTCGATCGAAAAGTATCTGCATTTTTTTTCAAACACTCTTCTACTACATGTAAATCTACATCTCTCTCAATCGAGTGTTGCCTATGTTTAATTGCGTAACTTGTAAAATTTACTAAGAATGAGCCAGCAGTATTTTGACCAGTAGGCTTCCTGCAAATTTCCCTTGATGAAAAAGTCCCAAGACATAGTCAGTTGTTTTCGTGAGCAAAGGAATAAATATGAAAGAAAAGTGAGATGCAAAGGTCTTTATTTTCTTTAGCTTTATAGCAGCTGTACCCTCTCCTGTAGTCTTCATCTAAATTTTGCACGGTCCCTCCTTATCTTCTGCTTGTTCAGTCAGTTTCGACTTCTGAAGCCAGATCATCGGCATCGGCCTCGATCTTCGTCCTCATTCATGCTTACAGAGGGGGACCTCGTCAATAAACCAATTTTGACACGGCAGATAACCAACTAAGTATCCAGTGATTTGGTGCTCTATCAACCAGTCAGTCTTAGACAACATTTTTGGTCGCTGTCGTCTCTTAAACTCGATATTTAGGAAGCCACATTAGAGGCGATTGCCTTAGGAGATAATTCTTTGCTTTCTGAGAAAAGCGGCTGCTTTTGTTTTCCAAAGAGCCAATTCAAAGTCCACCTGGCAAGTTAGGGATTGTTCGTCAGAATTTTACCTAAGGTCCGACCTTGAACGTAGCCACCCCCTACAGAATGGCAAGTCTTTGTCCATTTCCTCTTGATCTTATCATAAGAGGATTTTTTTTGTCAGCTTCACTTTGTGTTTGCCTTTGTTAAGATGCTTTTGGATGGCAGTGAATGACTGAAACGTCTTAATACATCCTTCCTCTTAGCAAGAATATCTCGCTTTCTTGTTCTGTTTGTGACGGATTGGGTATAATTTTCTCGATGACCCGCGTTCAGAGATATGTGCACGTTGGTGATAACCACCCGCTTCTACGATTAGTTTGCTGAAGGTTTCTAATGTGATGAGCCTAGTGAGACCCTGAGGTGCTCCAAACTGTGCCAGTTGGTCTGCGCTATAAACTTGTCGCAGTTCTAAAGTTAGAGGGAGGATCGCCCGCCTCTATTTTTGTGAGCGCCTCTTCAGTATCTGCGTATCCCTTGCAATCATATGATATAAAATTCATCTCAGTCACAAATCACCAGTTAGGAAAACTGATGTTAAGATAAGCGCTCTTCTTCCTCTTCTTCCATATCCATTGCCGACTCTAAGATAGCAGTTACAGTACGCGTTCTATTAGGTTTACAGTCACCTTGGCACCAGGAAGACTCACCACCAACTTTGATTTCTTCTGCCATCTTAAGATTTACCTCTCTCTCAACTTTACGTTGGGAGAGGATAATGGCATTTACGAACCCGATGGTCTGAATCTCACACCAAGTTGAGCACGATATTTGAGGCATATCGTGAAATCGCGGCCTTCGTAATCTCCAAATAAGCCATATGTTACGAGTGTCGATGTAGAGCAGGGTTGTTCCTAGACAAAACTCAGGATCGTCGGTAACAACAACAAACTTTTATTTCCACGTACTTGACTTCTTGTTTTTATAGCACTAAGCTTCCTCGCAAATCTCTCACTCTGTTCGATGGAACTGTCGCTCTTATATACATAAAGTATAAGGATCTAGAAACTTCTCTAAGAAGAGAACTAAAGAACTAAATTTAGTAGATTAACACGGTTTCTAAATTTGAACAATTACGTAAGAAATAGAACGTTCCAGATTGTTCTCTTTACTAGAAGGTCACGTCTAGATGACTTAGGATTCTAGAATGCTCCATTAGAATGTTCTGGGACTTTACTTAGACAATTTTTCGTAACACCAAAACGATACAGTGGGATACGTTGACGTCTCTCGAACGTTTTTATGACGGTACACACACGAATTTATGGGTATGAGCTGTTGCCGTCCCTGGTCAGCGCAAGAAAAATATCTTTTGGTTCTACAGTTATTTGCAAATGAACAAGACAATTGCGCCATCTTGACTCTATCAATTCGAGTTTAAGATTGAATTGAGGGCTTTTTAAACACTCGATTACTTATATGACATCACCATGAAGACGTTATACAACTGATACACGTACAGTACATAGGATTAACAATGTCTGTTGCGTTGTTGCAAGAGGGAGGAAAATATTACTGGAAGTGTAAACTCTTTAAGAGTTCCAGAGACGTATCGGAGATGTCTATCTTCGGCTGTCATAAAACATTGACCCCCTCTTAAATTTACTAGGAAAAATGAACTTACAAACTTCTTGTCCAAAACATTTGGAATTCATTAGACCGATACGCCGGTTGTTTCAATTTTGCTTTTTCCTTGGGCTGTTATATAAAACAGTTCATAAATTGACTAATGAATAGAAAATGGTGGAAAAAGTTTTTAAAACATTTGACAAGAATTTCATGGGGCTCACCTCAATAATTTTTGTTAGCCAGAGTCAAGACGCGCCAAGCTAAGCGACATCGCCCTCAAGTAAAATAATAAGAATAAATGTGGCGAGCGTGAGGAAACGTACATTTTTTTCATTATTGTGATCAAAGCGCAATGATGTACCTTAATTGTTACTTACAGTATCAAACCATTGATTATGACAGGGTGAGCTTAATTTTTCTGTCGAGGTCGACGTGACCACATTAAAAGCGTTTTTGACGGAACAAATTAGTGAGCATCACTGCACGAACTGAGAAAGTAAAAACTTGTATTTATCTCCCACGCGTTTCGTCTGACAATAGTAAACTTCATCAAGGAGTTTTAAAATTAGGGTAAATAAGCTTGCTCATATACAAGTAGTAAATAAGTTATCTCTTTACTATTGAAGCCAGTGGAAAGAATTCGCCAGGTGTGCCTGCGGTATTGTATATGCGTGACATTTTTCGGACGTTACATGTACGAGTGTGTGATCCGTTTGAGGGTCATCAATTTTTTGTATAAATATTTGACCTCTCAACACATTATGTCTCTAGTTTACAGAGGTCTTAGAACGCTTCATTGCATGGATTTGCCTTCTGCAGCTCTAATGCTAAAAGCGAATTTCTCGGGCGTAATTGCTTATGAATTCTGTTGATGTTGTCGCAAACACAGTTTTTGGGAGTCACGAAGCAAAAAATCGGGACCTAGTTTCATGTTTTAATGGAAATAAATAGCTGAAAAAAACACATTATCTTGAGAAATAAAGTTATAAATAACAGGGGTTCTTTGAAACGAATAGTGATAGAAAAGGTTTCAGGTCTGGTCAATATTGACTTTTCATAGCCTACTTCCAAATCTGAGGGAAAGCGCTTAGGGAATTACAATAACATACATGTGTGATAATGCAAGAAAGAGACTAAAAATACAAATAAAGAAAAAGGGGAAAACATAGGAGCCCGTGATGCAGCGTGCAGATATCTTTCGTGCCAGACCTACACACCTAGGCCCGGTGTCCCAACGGATTTGGACCCCCCTAGATTTGGACCCGGATAGCGGATATGGACCCCCCTCCGCGGATTTGGACCCCGCAACAAAACTGAGTGAAAAAATCATCCTTAACGTTCTAGTAAAAACGGATGATACTTTACGTTCCAGTGTGTAGTAAAGTATGTTTTTA